CACACACACACACACACACACACACACACACACACACACACACACACCACAAACTCACCAGGAGCTCTGGAGGGCCAGTCCACAGACACTCAGGACTTCAATATAGCAGCATTCTTTTTTTTCTTCTTAAATTGTCCCTCCAGGGCCTGGACACATCCAGGGATGGGGACGGTGGCTGGCCACCATGCCTCTGGCTCTGAAATCCAGCTTCACAAAAGCTGGGGCTGCCTTTCTGCCTGCCCTCAGAGACACCAATAGTAGAAGAAGCCAAGCCTGACTAGGAGGCTTGAGGCCAATTCAAAGCCACAGTCCACACAGGTCACAGAAGTCATGGGAACCTGGGCTCCTTCCCTGGGTTGGTTTTGGGGCTAATTCAGGGACTATAACATAGGCTACATAAAAATAGTTTTATCGATAGAATAAATACATTTTCTCTTTTAATATGGACACATATTTTACAAAAGAGCCCCATAGCACTATGGGAAATTAAGACCTTCTACAAAAAAGAAGATGTAACTTGGGTACAATAAAGCTCTCGTGTTATAAGGTCCCTGTTCTGTGTGAACTGCCTTGAGGTGTCAGCACCCTCTGAGGTGGTGTCAGGCAGTGGGCATGGCCACAGACTCCTGTGATTTCTCTGGCTTCTCTGCAAGGGTGGTCGAGGTCAGGAAGGCCCGAGGGCATATAGTAGGAAGAGGACAACGATGGTGGCAGCAATGACAGAAGGGAGGCGCAGTGTAGGTGCTGAGCTTCTGGTAGGCCCCACAAGGTCCTGCTGTTGCAGCTGGTGTGAGGACTTGGCAAAGGGTTTGGTGGTCCCGGAGCTGGGGGTGGGCTGGAGGGGCAGCGGAGGTGGCGAGATAGTGGTGCTGGAAGGAGGAAACACAGTGACTGTCAGTGGCCCCCCAAGGAGGAGATCTCGGGGTTCAGCTCTATCTTAAGCAGATGGCTTAAGGAAGAGGAGCTAGCCTAGAACCCCACAGCTGGCTCAGCTGACCTCCAAGGTTGGGCCCACCTGTGACTGATCACGAGGGTGGGTCCCAGGCAGAAACAATCACAAAGTCATGGAGGAGACAGCTTGGGGGTCCCTGGAGTATAACTTCTACCTCTTTACAGATGCTATGCCCCTTGCTCCCTCCAAGGACGCTGAAGGTGGCAGAATAGAGGCACACGCGCGCGAGCGCGCCCGCACGCCTGCCTTAATTTTCACCACATGATCCTGTTTTCCACGGGAGGAGAATCCCCTATGCCAGCCCGTCAAACATGATTTCTATCCTCAAAATAAGCTTTTGAAATGAATCTTCCTACCCCCTTTCAGCATGGTAGGCCCCAAAGAGGCTACCAGATAACCAGATTCTGGGGCAAAGTAGGTTTGCACAGCCATGGGGCAGGAGAAGAAAGACCGTTGTCTCTCTCAGTGGTGCAGGCATGGTGCTCCTATAGAGCATGTATGCAAAACAGGCCTCAGACAGAGGCTTCCTTAGCACATTTTAGCTCCCAGAACCCAGTGAGCTTTGTTTCCTGCCATGCTGGCCTTCAACCACATGGGGCCTGTCATGAGCTCACTGTCATGGCCTCATGTACTCTACCTCATCCCTGTCATGCCCACTGTCTTGCTCTTGTTGTCCCACTCACCTCTAGAGACTTGCCTCACCCTGTCTCTCCTTCAGACCTACGACTTGCTGTTACCTTGAAGAGCCAAGGCTCACGTAAAGCATGATCCACTTCCTGCCTACCCTCACTGTTGTTTGTAAGGGGCATGTGTTCTGTGAGAGCAGAAGAACAGCTTTCTATCTGAGGAGTCTTAGAACAGTGCCTGGCCCTGGGAACTGTGAGAAGGCTTTAAAAAAATATATTATTATTTTTATGTCTCTGCCTCTTCAACTAATAACAGGCAGTCACCATGCTCATTGCCATACCTATGCCATGTTTCTGTTCCGAGCTTGATGGAGATAAGGGTTCCTTACAAGATGAGATGTGCTGGGGCCATCTGCTTCCACAGCAAGAACTGTTAGCAAAATGCGTTAGCAAAATGCAATGTTTCCTGGTAAGACCTTGAACTGATGTGGAGGTTCCAGGGTCAAACTGAGGCCATATTTGTTGCAGCCAATGGAACAGATTAATGCCCTTGCCTAGAAGAGGTCTTTACCTCAGTCTCTAACACACACAGACATGCAGGCGCGCACACACACACACACACACACACACACACACACACACACACACGTACGTATGTGCAAGTCCATATCTAGCTGCTGCTGTGTGTCCAAACCTGGGTAGTTGAGAGGCACTGAGTGCTGACTTCAGGGCCCTGGGTGCCCTGTGAGGTGGCTGGAGCCAGGGCTCAGGCTGTCTTTTGCTGGGGGGTGGGGGGAAGGAGACCAAATGGGAATTATGTCTCACAAGGTACCTATAGGCATTTTCTTTCACACTTTGAAAACTAAAGATGAAAACTCTCTCCTGGAGCCCAAGTGGGGTTTTTATTGCTTGGAAAGAGTCCCAGGAAAATGAAGTGGGACTGGGGAGGGGGCAAGACCCTCTGAGTGCAACCTCCCTCCTTCCTCCCTAGCTTACTCTGCTCACAAAGTTGGCCCCCAGTCCAGGTCCCCCCCTTTCCCCCCACAAGCTCATGTTGGGGAAAACTGTCTCATGGCACAACAGCCCAGAGGCCAAACCAAACACACTGCACATTCCCAGGCTCTGCAGATGGCTGGCACTGAGGGGCCAAGTCTGCTCTGAGCCGACAGGACCCCAAGTGTGGGAAGGCAGGAAGACAGAGCTCTGGGCTGTGTCCTTAGCTTGATCTGTAACTTTGGGCCGAGACTGTTTTCTAGGCCTCAGTTTCTCAATCTACGCAGCGAAGGGGCAAGAATGGACTCAGGGACTTTGAACTCCTTCCCAGCAGTGAAAGCCAGAAGTAAGACCACAGGCAAAAGTCCAAAGGAAAGTACAGACAAGTGAAGCTAGTGTCAGACACTGTCAGTTGCCACCCCTTCCTGGGGGTTCCCTGGAGCAGGGATGAATTCTGGCATTACAGGTCTGCAGGAGCCCTCCAGGGCTCGGCACTGGGTATCACTGATGTTAACTGTCTTGCTAGTATGAGGAGCTGGTGCCTAACTAGGGGCACAAGTGTACTTTTTACTCTTCAAAAATCAAAGATGAAAGCCCCCTTGCCAAAGCCTGGAGTTGTTTTTTTGTTTGTTTGTTTGTTTGTTTTTTGTTTTCTTTTTCTTTTGTTTTTAATCACTTGAGTAGAGTCTCAGGAAAGTGATGGAGGAAGGTTGGTAAAGAGGACCAGCCTCCAGTTACTTCCTTAGAGACCCTCAGAGAGACTCAGGGGCCATCAGCCTTGGAGAATTCATGGCTTATATGATAGAAACCTCCATATCATCAGTTGGAGGAGAATTTGTGATTCTCAACTGGACTCTGGCATCTTTGGGTCAAGAAATCAGATGTAGGCAAAGACCCAACTTGCTCAGCTTGCCTCTTCCTTCTCCCCTGCCTCCACCCAATCAGCCTTCTTATCTTGTGTCCTGATCTTCTTGCCCAGGGATGCCTTCACCCTTCCCTCAGCCTGCAGATTGTAGGATAGCCATCTGATGCTTTCTAATAGTTTCACAGTGGACCAGGGGTAAAAGGATCTTTTCATTCTGAGGTAAAAACGGGCTCATAGACAGGAATTGCCACAGTCTTATAGAGCTGAAGTTCCAGGGCTTTTTCAGTGACACCATCCCCCACCAGTACTAATCCACAGTAATAGGTGGCAGGTGGGTACCTAAGATGTCTTTACTGAATTGGAGGTGATGTTTCACAGCCCCCACCCAATGGCTTATTGATGGCTCTAAGCGTAAGACACACTGAAGGTCTCGAGAGGCAGCATTCTGGGGAGATTGAGCCTGAGACACCCCAGACCAGAGACTCTGGAAGTAACAACATTAGCAACAGCCACCCCAGGGGGTCAACGCTGAGCTGATGTGGACTTTACAGGCACCTTCTTACTGTTAAAGCCCTGTGGCGTGGGATTGCAACACTACTCTGCCTGATTCTTTCAGAGTATTTAAAAAAAATAATTGAATGACTTCTTTCTCCAATCCTCATGGAGTACCACCCACTTCAGGCCTCATGAGGATACTTTCACTATCCTGGACCACCCCACATTGTGAAGAATGAGAGAGGAATACCTTGAGCAAGCAGGCAGTGGACAAGAGGTATGCAGAGCCCTTCTGGCTCTGGTTCTGTGTTCCCTCCCATCTTTGAGGGCTTTGACATGTGCACCCTGGATGGCCTGTACTTGCCTAGTGGCACTCACCAAGGCTCTGTGACTGTCACATACTGATGTTCATCTCTGGGTCTAGCTTTGGCCAGTGCCCAGCAGTCAGAAGGTACTCTCTTTTCTAACCTCTGCATCCTCAACATGCTTACAACTCAAATTCGGCCGTCACTGTGTCTCCTTATTTCCTCTCCTCCCTCCCTTCCTCCTCCTCTCTTACACACACACACACACACACACACACACACACACACACACACACACACCTGTGTGCTTAAAGACTTAGGGATGTGGAGAATGAGAGTTGGCATAACCTCTGGAAACTAGTCAAGGCCCTTATGGAGCAGAAGGAGTCACTTTAGGATTGCCACAGGCCCACGTTTTACAGGAACAGTCTCTGTCCTGGCTTGCCCTGGTCACATCTTCCCCTGCTACTTGTCTATCTGGTACTCAGAGGTAAGGGATTCCTGGGAATGCTCCGCTGCTGCCATGCATCTGTCTATGGACACACTCAGCCATTTCCACGGGTCCCCATAAATCATCCTGCCACAGGCTGCTGCTACTCTAAACTTCCTCTGCTGTGTTTACATCTCGGGGTAATGAGGGGCGAAGGGAGGCCAGCCTGATCCAGGTGGTGTCCCAGCCAGGCACTTACAGCCTGCATCCCTGGTTCTATTCTCCTTAGGCTCAAAGACTCTTCCCCCGATAGTGAGGCCTCAGGTGATCTGAAGCAGTTCAAACCAGATCTGTGCCCAGGAGTCCCCAGTCTAGAATCAAAGGCAAAGAAATGTAGTGTGGGCAATGATGCCAAGAAAAGGCTCCCATGGGTGTCTAGGGCAGAGAGGAGAGTTTGGCCAGGTGAAGATGAGAAGGGCACGTAGACAGTAGGGGCAAATATGAACCTTAGAGTTAGATTTGGATGACAGTTCTGAGACCCATTTGCTCAGTGTATTTACGGGTGACTCAGATTCCTTCCCTGCAAATCGGGCCTGCTTTCTGTGAGTCTTGATAAGAGTACAATATGACAGATGTAAATGGCACTGTGGGAACATCACAAGGGCCCGCCGGCATGCCACCCCAAGCAGAGAAAAGCAAGAATAACTTGGTGGAGGGGACAGGGTGTAGGGTGTGAGGACCCAGTGGAGGTGGAAGGCAGAAGAGGGAGTGGGAGCCTGTGCTTTGTACTTGGGCTTCCTGGGGAGCACAGGGCCTGCTCTTTCCCAAAAAGCAGTAAGAAACTTTAACAAACTGCTCTTTGGTGGAACCTTCTCTTCTAGCCAGAGCCCAGAGAGCTGCGTCAGCCCATCACAGTTTTACCTGTCGGGGTGAAGGAGACTCCCCTCCCTTCCCCTGAAGCCAGGGTCTGTATTTCAGATCCCCTGTTGTGAAAGGGAAGCTGACCAATGTCATTTGTCCGCATTCCCCTTTTGGACACAGGGGCTGGGGACCCATTGCTGGAGCTGGCAGCCTAGAGTCATGTTACGCTCTGAGTTAGATTCGTCCATTGACCCGGACTGTGAGTGGTCGCACTATCTGGAGCCTCTGGCAGACTGCTGGTAGCCTGCAAGTTTGGCCACAACTGAAGGATGCCACTCTCTAAAACTCCAGGCTCCTGCACCCAGTTAGGCAGGGTAAAGGATGCTACCTTATCTTAGTGTGTCTCAGCCAGTTCAGCCACAGTGACGCCTCTGCTGTAGGAGGGAGGCCGATGACATCTCCAAAGAGATACATTTTCTATGGCCCACAGGAGGCACTCTGACACTGACACATAAAGCCTTAGTGCCTATTCATTAGTGGTCATTTTAAGACAGTGCCTGCCATCCTGTTTGTGATGGGACCTGTCCTACATCAATCTTTTGTCGCTAACTCAGCCACCTGGAAGGTACCAGTTGGTTTCTGGTTCTCTGGGTAGCCGGGATGGGCCCTTCGGCTCCAGACATTGGTTCATAGTCATAAATGTCGGACCAGAGTACAGCTACTTAGTACCTCCTGGAGTCCACATCTCCTCAGGCCTCAGCCCTGCTGACTCTCATGCAAGAGGTCTGTGTGGGGCTGAAGGTTTGCCTATTTAACAAGTACTTGAGGTGATTTTGTCAAGATGGCTGAGGAAAATTCTGGATGGCATTAAGAACCAGACTAGGACTCTGGGTTCTGAGGTCCCACTGTCCAAACAGCAGATCCAGGACTCCCTATCATGGGGGGGGGGGAAGACTCTGGTCCCTTCCTGACACATTCCCTAGTGATACTATTCACTGTATGTGGAGATGCCTGCTACACAGCTGACTTAAGGAGATTGCTCTGGAGAGAAACTGAGTCAGGGAGGGTAGACAGAATACTGGAGCAACGAGAGCCCTGGTGACAGGCTGAGGCAGGAGGTGACAGGAGGAGCATGTAGAAAGAGGGTAGGGGAGTCCAAGCACCTTAAGATGTGTTCTGTACCTGCCTGCTTACAGCTTGGCTCACAGTAACATTTCTGAGCATCCTTTGCCTGGTGTTCCTTTCTCTCACAGGGGGGAAACCCCTCCAGAGTCCCCCTGCCCCAGTGACATGGCTCAGCATAGGGATCTGACACATTCTGACATATCCAGCCTGCTGTGTTTGCTTCTGCCTTCACCTCCAGTGCATGGGACACATGGATCAGGTGCAGGCCAGGCCTTGCTCAGAGCAGGGCCTGTGGCAGTACACTAAACCCTAGTGGAGGCGGTGAGCTCCTGCACAACCTGTCCCTTCCCTGCTCACCTCTCCTCGATTCGGACCCAGAGGTCGTTGAACTGCCTTGGCCGCTGGTGTTTGTTCAGCCTCTTGCGCCACTTCTGCCTCCCGAACTCCTCCAGCTGGCTAAGGCTGTCAGGGAGCAGGAGATGTGGGGACAGGACTGGATCCTCCTCCTCGGGAGGGGCGGTGGGGGTCTCTGAGGTTGCTTCTGGGACTGCAGCAGCTGGGGTTGCTGGGGCTGGGCTGGCAGGAGAGGTGCCCTCAGGAGAAGGAGTTGGGCTCCCAGCAGCAGGACTGCAAAGCGGAACAGCACGTGAGTGAGCCATGTGTGCGACCGGGAATGCAAAGGGAAGGTCTTCAAAGCAAGGGAAAGGCCAGAGTGCTCCTGCTGGGGTAAGCTGGAGAGACCCAAGGCAACTGTTGTCTGTTACAGAGAGACAGAACATTGATTGATCCTTTTATCTTTTAGTCCACAAATTCCCCTGCAGCTAGCATTTTTCTAGAAATTAAGTATCAACAGTGACCCAAACAGATGCCTCAGACCCTAAAGAGGAAGACAGAGTGAAACACACAGGCTACCATGTGGCCACATCGTTGGGGAGGAGAACATGAACATACTGCGGAGACAGGTGTGAGAGCACAGGGAGGGAGTGCTGGTTGGAAAAGGAGGTCTATGCTCACATTTGATCAGGTTTTCACTCAGAAATACCTTCAGTGGAGGGACTCTAGGTGAGTGAGCTAATTTGGCGGTGCCTCAGTCTCCTGTTCTTTAAAGTGGGGGCATGATGGTCTGTACTTCCCCGGGGACACTGTGAGGTTATAGGTGAACACAGAATTGGGCAGCCCAGGCCATTGAATGGTTGGTGCTATTCAAGCTGCTCATGTTATCAATTCATCCAGTGCTCTGTGCATTGGAATCTATTGATCATCTTTTGAGTGGAGGAGGTGGGGACAGGCCTAAGTCACTAGAACTCAACCTGAAGGCTGATAGGTAAAGTCTACAGCCCACTTTATAACTCAAGGCCCAGATTATGGATGAGTGGCACCTAGATAGAAAGGGGATGGAAGAATATTGCTACCTGCTTCATCAGAATGGCACGGGCGTGAATGAGGTGAGGACCCAGCACAGTGCCTGGTGCCTACCAAACTTCTCTGATTTGGGCCACCAAGCATAAGGTCCTGTCTATGCAGGCACCCAAGGGTCATTTATTCATGTTTGCAGAATTCATGCTCAAAGCAGGGTATGCCTCTCAGCCTGCAGACACGCTTCCTATTGTTCTTTGCTTTCTGTGGCCCCAAAGGAATTCCTTGGCGACATCTGGCCCTGGAGGGTTTGGAGTGGTTTTAGGAATTGTGTCCAAGCAAATGGCTTGTGATACCCAGGACTGAAAGCAGCCTGTCCTCCCATTCCACCCTCACACTGAGTGGCTGAGGGGTTTCTCTCTCCTTTGAAGAGAAAAAGGTTCAGCTCATCCTCTCCCAGCCCCCATGGCAACTCCAGACTCCCAGGGTCTAGGCTATTGGAGATGCTGCAGCTGTTGAGGAGATAATTCAAAACAGTCAGACAAAAAGATAGCTACAGGAAGCACCTGTGGCCAAGGATGGCTTTTATTGTTGCTGCCTCCTCAGCATCCCCACCCACTCTGCTCTGCCAGTTCCTTCATTCCCCTGTACAGGAGGCTGCAGCTGAGAATCCTCCAGCGGAGGCTGTGGGGGCAGAGGGGAGGGATCTCTTTCCTCTAATGCCTGCTTCCCTGCCCTGCTTGGCCACACACAATGAGCTTCAAGGGAAAGTCCTGGGGTGTAGGGAAAAGGGTGAAGTGAGAGGCCGGGAGGGAACTAGAGGAATGCCTTGAACCCAAGGCTACCTTGGATCCCTCATTCCTCAAATATACCTGACCTAAACTTCTGGCTGAGCTCATGGGAAGTGGTGGGAGGCTGAGATGGAATCCCAACGCTGAGCTTCGTAAGTTTCTATAGAAGTCACAGGGAAATGGGGGTGAGGGAGGGCGGAGGTGTATGGGTTGGAGCGGCCTGTGCTCTGTGGACCCAAGAAAGCTTCCTCGGAAGGCCAATGTCTCTGTCATTCTTGAGCTCCCTGTGACCAGAGTGAGTACAAGAAATGGTTAGGAGCTGAGGGAGGCCACAGAACCAGACTGTCATACAAACATGTCCTTCTGCAAGTGAGTTCCTAATGGACTTAGATGCTCCAACTACGTCAGAAAGATTCATAGTTCCTGCCTTGCCATGCTATGATGGGTTAGAAGCACCTACAGCCGCATGGAGAATGAGCAGCCAACACTCCTGGCTGTTTCAGACGTTGGGTCTTGTAACCAAAAGGACAGGGGCTGAAATCACAACGGGGCCATCCTTCTCACAATGGGGCTGGTGAGAAGGTTTCTACATAAAGGCTTGAACATGTCTCTGAGTGTGAGGAACCTGACACTGACCTGACAGTTTCAGGATATCAGAGGCTGGTTATTGTCTGAGGCTGGTGCTGTAGATGCTCACATGGGCAGAGCTGGTCTCCATCCTTGGGAAAATCCCAGGGTGGGGACAGGTGGTGTGGGGCAGAATAGGAGCCCACACAGGAAAAGGTTGGGAGAGTGGCTTTGTGGACAGACTGGGAGTGTCCTAGCAGGAAAGTTGGAAGCTAGGGGCACAGCCTGAAGAGGCCATGGAGCAGGTATGGGCAGGAAGCAGAGGCCCATGAGTGAGAGGGGCAGCAAAAGGGCCATGCAGTGGAGATGGACACAGGAAAGAAAGCGAACTGTAGCCTCTTCTTCCCATGGTCTCATGTTCATTCGATGCCTGGCTGCCCATTGACTTTCTAGAGAATAACTGAGGTCACTGGCGCTTGCCCTATCTAATGGTATCTGAACCCTAAGAATCTTACACGTCCTTAATTCTGCTCCCATTTCCACTGCCCCGGGAGATCCCAGCAAGACTGAATACCAGTCTCCTCACCCCATCTTGCACCCTCTAGTCACAATGCATGGTCCAGCCTGTTCCCACAAGACCCCATCTCACAGCAATCTGTTTCGCAGCTCTAGGCCTGAGCAGGTCATCAGGGGCAGTGACCACAGCATATGGCCAGGCACTGGTCAGCGAACCAGCTCAAAAATGCCACCGTATACCCTGATGCTCACCTTTGGATTGCTTGCCCGGCGGGTGTGTGGTCCACCTCCAGCCCAGCCTGTCTTAGGACATCGATGACAGTGTTGTTCCCCAGAAAATGACCTGGAACACAAGAGGTAGCATGGTCTCAGCTACTTGTCAGGTTCCATCCAGCAGAGAGATGGCCACCTGTTGGGTTTGTGTCTGGGCCAATGAATTATACCGTGGAGGTCCTCCAATGGTCTCCTGGATGGGTATTGGGACAGAGAATGCCCATACTGTAGCAGTAGTTTGTTTGTTTGTTTTTTTTTTTTTTTTTTTTCAAATCCATGTATCATAGGGGAGATGTACACCTGGTCCCCCTTGCTTATATTCACACCCCAGCTCTGCTGCTCACAGGCCGTACCTCTGCATGCTCCAGTTTCTTCACCTCTAAAGCGGACTCCAGAGAGCGGGGGGGGGGGGGAGGGCTGGTGTGCAGCAAAGGCTCCCAACTGTTCCCTATTGTATTACTAGGGCTCCTCTTTGTAAATTCCACCAACAACTCATGCCTCCTTTCCTCAGTTCCCTAAGAGCCCTCCAGGGGGCAGAGACCACCTTGCCACAGCCTTCCACGTGGCCAGAGTCTTACAGATGCTCAGCATGTGCTGTCTGGATCTAAGCACTTAGATTCATTTCTTCACCATCTACCCATGGTGGCTCAGGTAGCAGAGAAGCCATAAAACCCTCCCGAATGCAGGACCCAGCAGACACTGACAGTGACCTAGAGAAAGTGCAAACAAAATGACTCTCCTGAAGTGGCCTTCAGCAGTGTGTGTATGTGTGTGTGTGTGTGTGTGTGTGTGTTGTACAGTTGTACATCTCACCCACCAGCCCCATTCATTCTCTCAGCAAGCATGTATGGTGCAATCTATTTTGTATGAGATACCATAAATACACAGGTGGATAATTCAGTCCAGGACCCAGAAGAAGGGAGAAGCATGCCTCACCAGGGTATAGGCAAGATGTCTGTACTTTCAGGCTTTGGTTAGGCAGTACCCTGGGGAGGCCAGGTGACTGTGACATAGGAACTTCCTGGATTAGGCTCTCTCCTCTCCCTCCCTCCTGTTCTCGGTCTCCCTCTCCTTGTTGTATGAGCACTTTGGGTTGGCTCCCTGAGTGCTCCAGGATCTCTCCCCGCTGAGTCTGCCTCATGGTGTCACATGTAACATTGCCTTCCTGCTCACATTTAGCTCAGGACCTGGGTGTGGAGAGCAGGGGGTTTAATCACTGTCCCCTGACTCAGATTGCCTGTGACGAGTGGTGACAGGTGGGAAGTGGGGAGGTCAGCATGCTGACAACCCCAAGAAGGTAGAGAACACGGTGGACAAGCTGTTAAGAGCAGACAAGCTCCTGACTCAGAGGGAGTCTGCAGGACCTGGGCAGTGGTTGGAGCAGAGGGAGCCGTCCTCAGCCCTCTGGACCTCTAGCTTGACACACAGCCATATCTCCTTAGCTGTCCAGTCAGAGTACCCATGGTTCCACCTAGAGATCACTGGAAAGGTCACCACACAGGGAGGATGCTATGAGTTCTATCCCAGCCTGTGCTATACTTCCTCTGAACCCTTGGGTGCTACCTCTCGGTCTCCGTTTTCTCTCTGTCAGAGGGAGGGATTGGAGTACAGGATGAACATAGGCTTCCCTGGCTCATGGTCCACGAGGGAGAGTTTTGTTCCATTCAAGACCCCCATAAAAAGACGATCCTCTCTTTCTCCCTTCCTCTCTCCTTCCTCCCTTTCCTTTTTCTCTCTTTTGCTTTTTTCTCCCCTCCCCCTTCCCCTTCATTTTCTCCTTGACTCCCTCCCTCTTCTCTTAAACTTATGCCATTGGCTTAGTGGACATTGACTGTTGCGTATCCCATGCTCGATGGTGACTGACAGTCTGAGCCCCAATCTAGCGCCTCTCTGTCCCAGAATCTGGCCCTTGGCATCAAGATACTACCTACAATGCATGTGGCATCACAGGAAGTTGTGCAGGCATCTGTGGTAACAGAGGAGAGTCCCCGGATGAGGCAGTGCTACTAGATGAGGATGGAGTAGGGCGGTGATAGGACGATTGGCCTCACGTGGAGGGCAGTATGTGCAAAGACTGAAGTAGTCTCTACACAGAAGCGACAAAAGCACAGGTGTGAACAGGACCCCAGAATCTGACCTGGCATGCTGCGGACAAGCCCCGCGTTTCTCCGTCAGCCTGTGTGCTGGTTAGTTTTTGTTAATTCGACACAGACCAGAGTCACCTGGGAAGAGAGAACCTCAAATGATGAATGGCCTCCATCAGATTGGCCTGTGAACATGTCTGCAGAGCATTTCTTTTTCTTTTTGGTTTTGATTAATGATTGATGTAAGAGGGCTCAGCCCACTGTGGATGGTGCCAGCCCTGGGCAGGTGGTTGTAGGCTGTATAAGAAAGCAAGCTGAGCAAGCCAGTAAGAAGCGTTCTTCTTGGTCTCTACTTCAGTTCCTGGCTCCAGGTTCCTGCCCTACCCTTCCTGGGCGATGAACTGTTACCTGAAAATGTAAGATAAACCCTTTCTTCTCCTAGGTTGATTTTGGTTAGTGTTTTATTACAGGAATAGAAGCCAGCTAAGACAGACTGTGATACTAGCTTTTCTGTTGACACTGTCTTTCCACCCAAGTGTCAAATTACCTGCGGCTCTTTAGCCTGCTCTGAGGACAGCTTAAAGCCCCAGAGAGGCAGGATGGGTAAAACACCTTGGCTAGCGTGCCATCTTAAAGGAGCTGAAACTGTTCCTGGCTAAATTGGACTTCCCCTCTCACTTGGCTCTCCTCTGTGGGGCTGGAAGAGAGGAGTGGGTAGCAACTTTCAGTGCCCAGGAGGAAGGACTCTGCCAGGACCTCATGGCCTCTGCTCTGGACAATGAGATAAGTCCTCTGTTTCCATTAGTTTAAAGCCAAGTTCTGATGATCCAGTTATGGTCCCCACACCTGCCCAGAAGTCCTCAAGAGGTACCAGAGAAAACTCCAAATCGTGTGCTATGTAGGAGAAGCAGATAACACACACTGACTATTCTGAGGCTGAACTGTGGATGGTCAGAGGGATCAGGCTTGGCATAGCCCTATATGGCCCCTGTGGTGCAGACCTCAAGGGATGTTGCTGGGCTCTGAGGTCTGAGTGTCTCCTTTGTCTGCTGGAAGAGCCCTGGCACTCTCTCAGCCTTAAGTCTTCCTGAATTAGATTGCTTTCCTCTGTCCAGGGATACTTGGAGAAAGAAAGCAGGTCAAGTTCAAATTTCTACCTTCTCCTCCTCTTAGCCATACTCTTTTCTCTCTCTCTCATCCTTTCTCCTGGGATGGGAGAGTGGTACTTCTCCCTCACTTCCTGGTAAAATCCTAGGAGGAACCCTTTTATACGATCTGTGCCTAGAACTCAGGGACATAACCCTGTATGCCCAACCAGTGTTCCAGACATTCACCTTTTCTGGGGCTTGGTCTCATGAGATCCACAGTTGCACCTTCTTAGTGCCCAAGGCCCAAGCCTCCTTCTAGTCTGTGCATTTGTCACCGTGCCCTTACTCATCTGATGACACCCTTGGTTGGTTTTCTTCTGCCCAGTCCAAACAGGAGCTGTGAAAACCTACCCTTGTCCTCCCTCCTCTTCGTTCAACTCATACCTCAGCTACCAACCCTCATCTTTGGTAAGTTTAGTGACCTACAGTAGTAATGACTACCTCAGACATAGTGGTGCCCAGTGGCCCATAGAGTCCACCAACCCTGTTTGTCCTCTCTTCATGTTATTGCTGTGCTTCTGATAGACATTGCTAATCAAGCCACGCTGGTCATTTCCTCTCACAGTCAACGGAGACCCTGGATGTCTCCTCTCAAACGTGCTGGATTGCCCAGCCACCACCACCTGCAGCCATACTGCATTGTTCTTTAGTCCCTTCCCAGTGCAGCTAACCTGACCTACCCACAGCCTGGAGCTGACTGTGTTGGGACGTGCTCTCACAGAGCCACCTGATGGGGGTGGGGATGGCATATAAGCTTTTCCAGGGTGGCACCATGCCTGATTCATCTCTGTCCCCAGAGTTAAGCCAAAATCTGGCGCACCACCATGGCTCCACGAATGTTTGTTGAATGAATGAGTGACACAGCCTTTTACTTCACATCCTTTCCATGATCTCATCCTGTCCCCAGGAGACCTGAGTTTCCCCCGTTCTTGCAGCCCGGCCCTGAACCTTGGAGATTCTCCCCAGGATCCCACCAATCCTAGGAGTTTGGCCCCTATACAGGCCAGAGTCAGGGTCCAGCATACACTGTCCCCAGGGGTTGGCAGACAGTGTTTAGGCTTGTCTCCAAAGTTGGAAATTCTGAACAAGGCACCACCCCCATGCTGGAACCTGCAGGCAAGGTGGTGGAAGGTTTCCAAAGGGGCCCCATAATGTTGGGGCTCAGGCTGCTTGGCTTGCCCAGCCTCCCTAGGGCTCCTGGCCACCACTCTGCATCTCCCTCCATCATTAGCTTCCAGCTGTTCTCTGGCCAGTTCTCTCCAGGAAGATACGTTCCATTTCTCTTGCTGAGTCCAGAGAGGACAACAGAAGAGGAAAGAGAGGGTGGGGCACAGGGAGTCAAGGAGACAGAAAGAGGGAAGTGGGAAGGAAAGCAGAGGGATTATCACAGGGTGGAGATGGGGGTGAGGAGGAGAAAACTCCAGGACTTGGGGAGCAAAAGAAGACAGAGAATAGAGGCTGTAGACCAGGTGAAAGAGAGGCAGTAACAACTTCAGGGAGAGAAGAGGGAAGAGGAGAGACAGCTAGATGAATGGGGGAGGGAAGAATATGACAGGATAGAGATTAAAAGAAACCCACATAGAGATGGAAGAGGGAGAAACGAGGAAGAGGAGAGAGAGGGGAGAGAGAGAGAGAGAGAGAGAGAGAGAGAGAGAGAGAGAGAGAGAAGCAGAGTTGGAAGCAAAGGACGCAGAGGAGAGATGGCCCCAGGATGGGTGGTAGTAGATGGACATCAGGAGGATACAAGTCCAGGGAGAGCAGAGCTTCATCACTGTGGGGTGGGGCTAGCCTTGTCTCCCTGAGACCAACCAGGGGCCACTTACAGACATCTATGCACA